ATCCAGTCGATTAGTGCTGCCTCAGCTCTAGCGCTTAGTGAGACAGCAACGCCAGCAAGACTAGACGAAGATGCCACAGGGTCTCCGGATAAATGAACGTAAAATAAGCTTTTTGAAGCGACAGATAGAGAGCGAATTTGTAGTACTTCACCAGAGTCTTGAATACGGGTCTCGGATAGACAACACACGTCAATATTAAGACTTTCCAAAGACATAACCAGCCCTATCTGTTGTTCGACCTGAATAAGTGTGCGAACGTTAAAGGCAGCCAGTTTGAATAGTGCACGTGGTTTCAGTACTCGTATTCGGTGGTAACATACAATTTTCAACCAGGCAGTGACTCGAGAACGTTTAGATAGAGCCGAATTTCCACCATAGGCGAGCTGCTGTATAGGTCGAAAAATAAGGATAGACAGAGTGGGAATAAAAGTGTGAATAAATGACGTAGTAAATAATAATAATAATAATAATAATAATAATAATAATAATAATAATAATAATAATAATAATAATAATAATAATGGTAATAATAATGATAATGTGAATCGTTTGATTGTTAATTGAAACAAGAAAAGTATCTTCCATAAATATCAACATTTCATCATATTTGTGTGTGGGCCGTGATACTGCCCGGGTTCCCAGACCGAAGCAGATGGTTTTCCTAGGGGGCCACACCGCGAGCCTTTGACCTAAAGGTCTGACCCACAAGGTAGTGGAGCATCGTGAGCAGATGCGGTCCCATGGTAGCCGGTGACCGAAAATTGGTTCATACGCCATTTGTTTCCGCAGGATACTGGAGCCCATGTTCACCATTAATTTGGGATAATGATACTAAATGACTGTCCAAACCGAAATAGTTGGGTCCGAGTTCAGACTTAGGACTGAATGGCCGAATATACTTAGTACATTAAATCAATAGAAAGTATAAACATGTCAAAGAAATAACTTTTGTCTTACTCTAAATGTTACTTTGCCTTCATAAACATTCATGCAAGGCAAAAGCAATTTTATACATGACCGTATTAAGTTCATATATCTGAACACAGACCTACCTCATAATTATGTAAAATAACTGCTTTTCAACTATATAGCTAGTATCAACTCATAATCATCATTTCTTTCAATGTTAATAAAATCTTCATACAATCACCTTAATTCCATAATTTACAGATAGAAAATTTTGTGACATTTGGCTGCATTGACTTGTTTGAGGCGCTCACCTGCAATTCTGAGGGAACTGACGCTATCTACACTATTCGAACCCAGACCACCTAATTGACTGAGCTATTTGGACTGAGACTGATCTACCGTTAGACTGAGCAATTTAAATTAATTTATCACTGGGTAATAACCAATATCTTACTTACTTACTTACGCCTGTTACTCCCAATGGAGCATAGGCCGCCGACCAGCATTCTCCAACCCATTCTGTCCTGGGCTTTCTTTTCCAGTTCAATCCAATTTTTGCTCTTTTTTCTCGTGTTTGTCTCCATTTCTCGACGTAATGTGTGCTTTGGACTTCCTTTTTTCCTTTGGCCTTGAGGATTCCATGTGAGGACTTGCCTTGTAACGCAGTTGGGTGCTTTCCTCAATGTATGTCCACTTCCAGCGCTTCTTCCAATGGTGTACATGGGCTCCAGGATCCTGAAGGAATAAATGGCGTATGAACCAATCGTTGATCACCGGCTACCATGGGACTGCATCTCCTTACATTGTGAATTAGACCTCTAGGTTGAAGGTTCCGGGTGTGGCCCCCTGCTTCGGTTTAGGCACCCGGGCAGTATCTCAGCCCTCACCCAAATCGAATGATTTATGTGGTGCATATCTGTCTGGTGCCTCCTTGTACCAATGTTTAAGTAAATAAGTACCTATATAATTGTATCGATCGAGTAGTACTGATCTGCTTGACTAATAAATACACACACCTATGCATATGTGTCGCTGTGAAAAACAAAATCGATCAATGTAAACTTCTCTTCAACAAAATTTTACATTCTAGATGCTATATTCATTCTTAGGAAAACAAATTTATGAAACATCTCTGTCACATGACGTTTTTAAAAATGTGTTCTGTATTTTATAGGACTTCCTTCTTGCTTCTACCACAAGAAAAAACTAGTATCCTTCACGCAATGCATACATAAGTGAAGAAATAATTTTAAAACTATTATGGTTGCTATAAGACTAACAACACCAGTTCATAAATCATTAGACAGAAATTATTGAATCAATGTTTTTATATGTAGTACGTCTTGACTTTAACTAAATCACATTGACACTTTCTTTTCGTTTTCATTACATATACGAGAAAACTTAATTGACTTACTTACGTCTGTTACTCCTCGTGGAGGAGCATAGGCCGCCCACCATCAATCTCCAAACAACCCTGTTCTCTTCTAGAGTTACTGCCTGTCCCAAGCCCAAGTAAAAGAGGAAAGTTGGACATGGGGTCGGCAACCCTGTCCCGTAGAAAAAAATCTCGCTAATAAATCACCAACCAGAAAACTTAATTCAATATCCCTATATTTAATTACCTATTGCCAATGTTTTATTACGGCTCAATTAGCTGAAGTTGTATTTCTTCATATAAAATAGTAAACAATTTATATATTTTTTATAGTAAACCATTGTGCTTTTTGGATTAAACGAGTTAGTTGTGAGAAAATACTACTTCTAATAGGTAGTGCTGTTAAGTAGCAAAAGGTTGCGCTAGCACGTTCATAAAGAAATTCCATCTACTCTTATACTCAATCAAGTACGTATGAATTTTCTGTTATAACCTAACTATTATCGGCTAGCAATCGAATTTTGTGTTATTCCACATTATCAAAACCAAATTCTTTTAGTGATTTTCTGCATTTTTCACAGAGTTGATATGTCTTAGCACTGAACATCTTATTAATACACATCTACGATCTTATCCAAAAAGTTTCACAGGTCCTCATTCAGGACAGTAATAGTCATGTTTTTTGAAACCATCGCATAATGCAGTCAGACTAGTTCTACTACAAGAAACGAACGAGTGATATACGTTTGTGTACCCACCAAATGACTAGTTTGCATTATATATGAGGAAATCAAACATTTCTAAAGAACTATAGATAATATGTCAAGCGGATAGCACGAACAAGGTGTTTTGAAGTTATGTTATTTTATTAATGAACCCAAATACGTGACTACGCATTCATCGAATACAACTAGGAAATATTTTCCTCGTGTCACTGTATAATACTGAACATAGATTACCGCCTATTAGCTGAAACCTGGATTTCAACCTATCGTGCCTTACACACAATAACACCTATTCACAAATGTTAGTTGAGCAAAAAGAAAGCGGAGTCTACGCGCAAAACCTTTCAGACTGTGAGATTTACTCGATATTAATCCAATTAAAGGTTCGTGGCCAAGTGAAGCAGTCAAACACTTCACTTATCGTGAGAGTCCAATCAGCCCTATTGGGTTGGTGTCTGACGAAATCTGCATGGATTCGAAAATCTCGTTTGCCAACTTACATCACCTATGGGGAAGTATCTGCCTATCAACTAAACGACTAGTATACTGAGCAACAGTTCGTCCCGTTTTACTTTACGGCTGTGAAACGTGGTAACTAAGGGTAGCGGATACACGTAAGTTACTGGTATTTGGTCACGTCTTAGAGATATTGCTATCATCTGCTGGGAGCAGCGGGTAAGTAATGATGAAGTTAGACGCAGCGTATCAGAGGACAATGGTGAATCAGCTGATGAGGTCGAGAATTCACATCAACTGAGATGGTTGGATCACGTATTACGCATGCACAAACATCGACTATCACAGTGGATAATGCTAACTAGCGTTGAAGGACGGGATAAATTTAGGAGTGGCTAAACCTAAACGTGGGGTCAATCCATAAAATCACTAACCTCTGAGCCGCGTTGGTAGATGCAGACTAGTTGATTAGGTTCCGCGTGACTACTGTAACCAATGGGTGGGGACTGGGTGACATGACTCAGAAGCGATCACAATGGTGTAGTTGTATGCCATTTGACTTCCCTTAAACCGTAAGATTGAAATTACTCCATACCTTCCTTTCTACGAACTAATTCTTTCTCCCCGTATCATATTCTCATATGCAATCTTTTTTCTTATACATTACCACCATCGAAGTAACTGATCCTAGGAGTTTGGTGTTCATTTAGTTGCGCTGAGTTATGGCAACTTGGACCGCTGTAAATATGAGCCTGATCCCACATTGTGCATGACTAACAGTTTGGGGGTTTATTATAATTCTATATTACTAAAAATTAAACCTAGTCAATGGAGGTTCACATGAGCAGAATAATGTAGTAGCGTCTTCGAGGATTTTATCACAAGATAAACTCCCCTAAAAGAATTCCAGATCGCCGTAAATCTTACCAGCTTAATCCAAATTTCTAAATTGCACCGCTGAGTGTTTACTACTGTTTTAGGAAGAATCATTAAAATCATAACTAGTAATCAAATTTCCTAAACATAATATGGTAAGACAACCTAGTCCTCAACAAACGACTATGTTCGAGGATTGTTCATCACATAACTTAGTTCATTTGGCACAATAAAGACAGAAATATAGATGCCAGTATAAAAGTTATCTGGAGTTAGTCCATTATTACTTAGTTTGAATAAAGAGACCTCTGCTATATGAATATCACAAATGTCCTCGTAAGAGAAACCAACCCGCTTGATAAAACATTAAATTCGCAAAGGCTTAAGGACAACAGACGACAACGAGCTAAGCTATTTTCCCAACAGCTAGTCAGACTAAGCTGATTTCACTGCATATATTTGAAGCCGTTCAATCCAACTACTGATAACAAATTTAAGGGTTTGATCCAATTTGACACAAGCAGAAAGTCAATCTAACTAGAATACCTCTGAAGACCACCGAAACGATCTACAATGAGTAAGGCGCTCACGTAGATAAACGAATGTAAATTCAACGTTCGAACCACCAAAAAATATTCGGATTTAAAATACAGCAGTTCTTCACGAGTATATATTCCCGATAATTGATGTCTAAAGCATGGATTGAAAACATGTAAACCTTCATCACTTGTTATATTACAATGAACCTTATACCATGATAAATACTTGAGTTGTAATGGATAGTGTACCAAAACTACGTAGACCTGTTTTAGCATGAATATGAAAAACGTAAACTATAAGTGACTTTTTTGACGAGCAAAATATCAATACTTTCTTCAGAATAAACTTTTCAAGTGAAGTATATGTTCACTAGTATTGAGATAACATAAAAGACAATAAACAGAATTTTGCTTTGTGTAAGCAGTAGAATAAAATAAAATGTCATTGTTAAAGCATCTTCATAAAAAGCTAGAAGACAAACGGAGTCGTTAAGAAAAAGAACCGATAGGGTGATAATGTTCAGTCTTTTATTCTAGTTCACTTAGCATTTCTCGCCGTTTATCTCTGTACATACCAAGTTTTTGTGTACGACTCTTTGACGCTATTGCATTAGTTAATCGTTTCTGTTCTTTGAGGACCCGATGGTTGGCTCCATTTCGCTGTGGTAACAACGGTAAACCAAGATCAAAAAGATTACGAATGTACGGATTTTCACGAAGATGATGCCTCAATCCACTTCCTAGCACTGAGCACAAGAAGTTATAATAAAAGTGTCCAGCGCAAGATGATAACGTTAAAACTTCAGCACCAAAGTTTATCGATGTTTCAGGATAGTCACAGTGCACTACGGCCTCCACGAGTTCCCGAAAGGAATGACGTTGTTTCTTGAGATCACTTTTAGAGCGACTTTTTGAGCTATCTGTAGCCAACTCACCAAGTAGACGGACAAGATCGCTGTAATAGGGACCTTTGAATTTATCATCAACTTCGTTTCGAATTCGTTCATAAATGACTGCTGAAGCTTCACCTGCTATTATACGAACATTCACATTTGAGCACTGAAGTAAAGAGAGTAAAACAGGAAGCACGGCTTTTCCGACATTACCAGAGTCGTATGGTGATAGGAAAGTGTATATTAGTGTCCAGGCTTTAAGTGCTGCTACATAAAGATCAAAAATATCAGCTTCAATTTTCGAAGTCGAGCTTTTGAATACAAATTCAAATGATTTTATAACATCTAATGGTGAGATAAAGTCACAATAACCTGACAAAGACTGCAGTACTGAAAGAGCTATGGCGGAAGACGCTCTGAATTTAGGATTTTTGGTGGAATCACGAATGATAGGCTCTAAAATAGGAAAGAACCTCTCGAACCATATAGGAACTTCGTGTGGATCAATTTGTAGAGAGAATACGGTCAGTAAATCTGCAGCTAATGCCTGATCCTGTGGTTTACTCTTTTTGAAAATATTTTCAATGCTGGTTATCAGAGTTTCAGTGTAGTTCCAAGAGCCATCCAAACAGAAATGGTGTGAACGAAAAAACTCAATTAATGAACGTATTGCGTTAATTCGAGTTTCCGTTCTCTTTTCTTCCATTAAATCGATTGCTGAGCAAACTTTATCAAGAAGCGATTCCAAAGCCAATCCATCTTCAACCTAAAACATTCAGAAAGTGGTTCACGGGAATTTATATTATTACTGATGAGTATAAACTAAGTCAATGTATTAATGATATTTATCAAATGCGTGTTTAAGCAGAAGGCATCAGGGCACGACTTAGATGTAAGCCTGTGGGATTCAAATAGAAGACTTATTGGATGATACCACTTGGTTTAAACTAAAATACGGATTTGTGAACATACGGTGACAACAATAAAAGCACTATTTTGACTAATCCGCTTTAGATCTAGTTGATTTCCTGTGTACCGACATAAAACGAAGTGACATATTACCTTGAGTATTTATATTTCCAACACTGTTTGTGAATAAATTACAAAGTGAAGTGTTGGTAATTAGACATAAATTGTCTGATTGCTGCGCCAGTGTGTACAACCCTATATTTCACTCCAGAGATGAGTTCAGCTATCGGTAGTTATTCAAATGAAAAGATGTATCAAAATCACTCCACATATAATCTATTATAGATTATAGCATACTACTACAATCACCATGGAAAGGGTAGAAATATTTCTGCAAACTAGAAGTGCTGTAGAAGTTAAGCATCGTTATTATTTGCATATACTGGCATCACTTGTCAAAAAAAAGGGCTGAATTATACTTTAAGTCAGAACCTACAATTAAATGTCTTAATGAATAATCCAGAAAATAGAAAGTTTGAAGGGAAAATGTCACAATTGCGGTTTTGACAAAATTCCTCCTTTGTTTTTAAAGAATATCGAAAATGTGGTAAACAGGCATGAATACAAAAACAGGGAGAATAAGGAGCACAGCTTTTCCGAGAGCTAGGTGCTACGTGGTTAACATGATTACGCTAGTCAGTCAATTAACGAACTCAGCAAGAACACGTTTCAGTCTAAATATTCTGACAAAGATCGGTACAGAGAGGAAGCCAACAGAAACTGGGATCTAAACCATCGTAAATAAAATGTCAAGTACAGTTGTGAGGTAAATAATGAATGCACATGCGCCACTGAGATCGATTCTGCATTTTTTAACCAGCGTCGCCACCAATTTTGTGCTGAAATTTTACTGAACATTACAATTTTGTGATCAGAAACAGGAAATAATCCCAAATATTCCTCTCTTGATAGTAAGGCGTTCGGAAGACTGCCTACGGACAATCTTTTCCTAAACAAAATAATGTCGCCTTTGTCATTAAGCAAACTAGTTTTCAAAATCAAGCAGTCATTTCCTAAAAGCTTGATAAAACTAAATGAGAATGAACAGTTAGCAACCAGGACAAAAAATGGAACTCCTAAGTTATAATTAACTTGGGAGGAAATGAGGACAGATGAACTGAGTCCATCGCTTTAGTCAGTTCATTGTGAGGGAAGTACCTTTAATCTATTTTTAAAGTTAGTAATGGGGAATATTTATAAATATTATACAAATTATTTAAACAAACCATAACAATTGACAATTATAACATACATTCGTGACTAAACATGAAACTTATCGACAGAATTTGGCAGTTTCTTCCACATAAATACAGGAATTATTTTAATGCTCAATTTAATTTAGTAATGTATGACTTATTTATTTTTATTTATTTATTTGAACACATAAATATTGGTACAGGGGGGCACCAAATATATATGCGCCACACAAAACAATGATAATTTGAAGAGGAGAAAAGAGAAAAAAAGTAATGAACGTGGGGAATTATAAAAAAAAAGGGAGAGAACAATGGTGGGGGAAACGGAAAGGTACAATCAGAAGAGATCTTTCAGTTAAGGAAGATACAACCACTTTTTATGAAGTAAAAGAAGGTTACAGCACGATCGCCACTGGCTTCTATTCTGAGCCATATCTGATAACGCAGCACGTGGCCCAACCATCTCAGTCGATGAAGGTTCATAACCTCATCAACTGATTTACCATCATTCCCTAATACCCTACGTCTAACCTCACTATTACTTACCCGGTGATCCCAGCAGATACCCGCAATATTTCTAAGGCACCTGTGGTCAAATACTAGTAACTTACGAATATCTTCTACTCTTAAAGGCCATGTTTCGCAGCCGTATAGTAGAACGGAACGAACTGCCGCGCAGTATACTCGTCCCTTAATTGATAGACCGATATCTCGCCTTCGCCATAGATGACGTAAGTTGGCAAAGGCCAAGCGAGCTTTTCGAATCCGTGTTGAGATTTCGTCAGACACCAACCCATTAGGGCTGATCAGACTTCCAAGATAAGTGAAGTTGTCAACGCGTTCGACTACTTCACTCCCTATCCTTAGTTCAGGTGTTGACGCAGACCAGTGCTGAAGCAACAACTTGCATTTAGAGGGAGAGAAGCGCATCCCAAACATTCTGGCATTGTTGCTCAGTGCTACAAAAAGACTGCATTTCATCAGCGTCTTCACAAAACAGGACTATGTCATCTGTGTATTCTAAGTCAATAAGTGGACCTCCTGGTAGGAGATCAATACCTGAGAATTCAGTCGATGAGAGCGTTATTTCCATCAGTAGATCTATGATGAATTTAAACAAAAATGGAGGAAGTGGACAGCCTTGGTGGACGCCACTTGAGGTTGCAAAAGCAGATGACAGTTCGCCATAAGCTCTCACTCGACTAGTAGTGTTCGAGTAAAGAGCCTTCACAAGGTTTATGTACTTCTGAGGTACACCTTTCAATGACAGACACTGCCACAGAACCTCTCGGTCAATAGAGTCAAACGCTGCTTTTAAATCAAGAAAGACCACTATTGTCGGACGCCGATAAGCATGTCTGTGTTCTAGAACCTGACGAACGGTGAATATGTGGTCGGTGCAGCCACGACCAGGTCTGAAGTCAGCCTGATTTTCACGTGTTTGCAGTTCACGAGTCTTAGTTAGGCGTCCGAAAATTATCGAGGCTAGTATTTTAGATATTATATTAGTTAAACTAATCCCTCTATGGTTGTCACAGGATGATTTTGACCCTTTCTTAAATATTGGGACGATAAGTGATTGTGACCAGTTAGATGGGATAACGTCTAACTCCCAGATTTTAGCTAAAATATTAGTCAACCTAATCGCTAAAACTAGACCACCATCCTTAAACACCTCTGGGGCCAATCCATCTGGACTAGCTGCCCTTCCTCGTTTCAGATTAGCTATAGCCTTTTGAACTTCAGCTAGAATTGGGGGACCTACTTCAATGTTCTATTCACACTGTCTGGGAATAGAGGGTAGTTGTAGAGTAGATAAAATATATGTTTTTTGCTTTCTACAACATGAATATATCAGATCAGGACCAGTGACGAAAGGTAGATGATAATCTCGGGCCGTCTAGTGAGTAGGCAAACCCCTCGGACTGTTCCCATAAACATCGCAATAAGAGGGAAGACCTAGTATTGACTTGACGTTCGCTGAACAATAATCATGGACCTGAAAGATCTAAAAGATGATCCGACTACAGCAAGATCAGTGCACAATCATAGTTGGATTGCTTGTATATTCAGCCTTTAATAATATAAAGGAATATAAACCAAATGAACAAACAGTGACATCGAGGTCTAGAACCAGTCCACAGTACTTCGAAACTTTATGAAAATGTACAGTTTGAGTGCAAATAAGTAGAGCCCGGAAGTAAAATTTTTGTCACACTTACGTCAACGGAAGAGGTTGTTGGAGTCTCGCTGCCGTCACTATGAAGGCTAACAACACTCGCCAACTCCAAAGGATCTGACTGATCTACAAGAACTAAAGTCAAATATCATAACAAAAAATGATTTTCACATACCTTTATTTTCTTTGACTTTTTTCTTTGGCATTTGCTGTTAGATAGTTATTCCTTTTCGATTGGAATACGAAATTGATATCAACCTCCGAAGGACGAACACGAAGTCACTCATAACGCACTTCCACCGCATTTATGCAACCCGCGAATTTTCAGCAACTAAGCGTAAAAACAAAGGAAGGAATATATCTGATCTTAAGCCGATTATTAGTGTCTTGAATATAAAAATCAACTAGTTTATCAATATGGTGCAAGATATAATTAAGCGGCCTGCGTGTTCAGGTCTCACTAAAAGTGGCACATCAAGCAACTCAGAAATTTAGCTGGCAGTTATCTTTTATACATTTTCAGAGATCTGGAACTCCTTTGTGCTGTTTCAATCGTGACGAATATATTTAATTCTAGGTGATTTAATGCTTCCCGTAAGACATATACTGCTCTATACCCTTCAGATTAAACAGAACAGTGGTGAGTCGTAGTCCTAAGGCCATGACATACTATTACCACTTAACTATTGTGGAACAGGATTAAAGACTGTGAATCTTTCCTTGCATGCTAGATATTGATGCACGTGTTCAATGCGCGTGTAGACATACTTGGCGACAATAATAGGCAATGCCCACAACTTATACCGAATTACTAGAACGTCTAGGTTAGCCTGCAATAAACATGCGTCATTCCTGACTTCTACCTGGAATTTTGTGTCATAACCACACGGCAGGGCGCGGTGTAGCAGTAATTTCTCTCGTGTAACATGTTGTCGTGCGCACTTTTAAATCGATATTTCTCAGTTTTGTGCAGAAGTTTCGCAATTTTGTTGATTTCGTGCATTTCGAACAGTTTTCGCTCATAATTTATGGTCAATAATCGCGGTCTGTTTCTGGAATTCATACGTCATTCCTGGGGTTTTTATCGCTTTCGTTTTACCTTTTAAGTCAATCGAACATTGTACAACTGTAATCACGCTTTAAACAAATTTATCCCTATGTATTTCTAGACTTACAACATACAACTTGAGTGTGTTTGTACTTTTTATAATTTCACCTATATTAAAATGAAGGTTTCTGTAAAACATATCGACAAACTCAATTTCAGCTGATCAGCTTATACATAAAAGATATATAGCATAAATGTGTCCATCATATATTGATTATTAAGATGCGATGAGTTGGTGTAGACAATGGTGAGATTTCCACGTAAGATCTTATATATTAGGCAGTTACATCATGACAAATCTACAATTTTAGGACTAGGTCTGTTATTAGACCATGACTTTACATACTCATTTGCTAAAGACTTGGATTGCAACTTCCAAGGATAACACAATAATGGTCCATAACTGCCTTCATTAGACAGAGAAGTACATAAATTCCCTCAGAAGAATGATTAAAAGTCTTAAGAAAAGCATTACATTCGCTGCAATCCCCGAATTTGAGGCCAGATTACTAACTAGTGGACACATTCTGGCAAACGTATGTTAAGCCAATGCATTTGATACACTTGCATAAGTTTATTGAGCTTTCAAGATGAGATAACTTATGACATATTCCCACAGAATTCCTGTATATATAATAAGAAATAACCTGCTTTTTAGCGTAACAATGTGTTTGGAAGTAAAATTTGATATTGAAGAACCCATGGTCTTCAGGACAGATGTTTAAATACACAGGACCATATACTTATTTACGAATACAATATTTTATTAGGCAGATAACTGCCAAGTGCATTACTTGTATTCAATTTGCTATTTCTGTTGTAGTAAAATTGCCGGTGATTCTAAATGCTAGTGTCTTTCCAATCACGTTGAAGAGACTTCTAATTATGATGCTATTTAAGTGCTATTGTTGTTACAATCCATTTGGACTTTTCGTGCCAGAAGGTAACCCTCGTTCTATTAATAGAATAAACCAGACTAGTAGTGTATAGGTCTTTATTTAGATCTTCGCCCAGTCACACAAAGCCTCTCAACACTCAATATGGGATAATAGGAAATATAACGCCTGTACAAAATAAGGAAGTGAATGAATATTTGAACTATGTTGTTTTGACATATGCTTAGTTATCTGAGGTCAACACCTAACCAATCAACCTAAGCTGTTACAGGCTTACTCACTGATATTATACTCATATTGCTTATTACTTCTGTACATGCTAGTGGGTTCAAGTACTTACATATACATTACGGAACACTGGTATTCTAGCTCTTACTTAATTTATTTATTATTAGTCATCCAGAACAAAGGTAACGAATATAACATCGTACTCTACTTTGAAGTAGCTATCAGCTTGTATAAGCGTCCAACAAGGAATTAAGTAAATATTTTTAAAATATAGTATAACGAGAGCATCCAATCATAGTTTATTCACGTCATGTACGTAGTATTATTTTGTCAACTCTTGTACTAACGAAAGCTATATATCAAGACCTCCATAGTTAAAAGTCCGATGAGTTAAAAATGAGATTGTATGTCAAAATAAAAAAGCGATACATAGACATCTTTCACGGATAATTTATGTTCTCATATTCCTTTAAATTTTGATAAATTTACCTGTTTTATCGCGCAGAATCTATAATTTTGTTAGTATTGTCCCATGAATAGGAGAAAAAGGTTACTCTGTTATGTAATAAACCCAGAAAATCTAACACAATCTACTGACTGCAATTTCGACTAAATACGAATTGTCCTGTAGAATCAGATGTCAGTTATACCGATATCGCTTTCAATTCTGTTAAGTGTAAGTAAAAGCCAGTTCAGACAACAACGAGTAAACCGATCAAGCTTTTATAGACTTGTAACTAAAATGCTTTTGATACATGTGTTATCGAACCGACGTTCACACGGAAGTCGATTCTAGAGGGAAGCTATTATAACAACTTAGGTCGATTGATTAAGAGTTGACCTCAAACAACTAAGCACACGTCAAACAGCATAGTTCAAATATTCATTCACTTAATTATCTTGTACAGGTGTTATATTTTTAATTATCTTATGATGAATGTTGAGAGGCTTTGTTTGTCTGAAAAAGTAATCCCATGCCCCATTGTGACAGCGCGAAGATGAAAATAAGTACATATTCCCTACTAGTCTGGTTTCTTCCATCACGAGGGTTACCAATAGGCACGAAAGACTTTGGAAAATGATATCCAACAAATTCTTCACCTTAAATTTTATTAAATAAACTGTCACAACTGACAAACTGATCATGAAATCTTTGTTCTTGCATTGTAGCTCCTAGAGAAAAGACGGTAAAGGATATTCCGTCAGGCTGTGAACAGTGGGGTTAGCTTATTCGATGGCAGATTACGGCATAGAAACTACGGTCATGAAAGGAGAAACCCATTTGTCTCCGAACACAGCTTGACAATATCTGATAACATTTTCATTATTTTGCTAATCACAGGGAAAGAAAAAAAGCTTCAAAAAGCTTTTCTATACAAACGTTTGTTAATGATAAAGATTCATTCCAACCCCTTAAATGTTGATGTAACGAGCTTTGCCAATTAGTACATTTATCTTCACCATGTATTACTAATTCTCATCACCGTTGGGCTATGCCAAGGTGAGTAAATAAACCGTATTAAACATAATGAACCAACTAGAACATTGGTTAAAATTACTCTTCTCGGCGATTATACTTTACTCCCTTCAGTTAACCTGTAGTGGCATTGGGCCCTACCACGAGACAATATGGGAAATATACATTCAACACGTAATGCGGAGAAATACCCAAGGGTGGAGATGGCGGGGATAATGAATTGAATAAATTGGATTTGATCTTATTGCATGGCTCGGCCATGCAGACGTGGTCCCTGCTAAATGTTACCCTGTATCTTTTATTCATATTAAATATATTGTCCCATCTCTAGCCTAAGACTGTTCTCTATCATGTATTGGTAATTGTTACGATGCGGTGAGTTGGTGTAGATGATGTGACTTCCACGAAAGATTTTATAGATTAGGCAGTTACATCATAACGAATCTAAAATTTTAGGATTAGGTCTACTATTAGAGCAGTGATAATATCATAGTAGATCATAATTCTACAAACGCATTAATTGAGATGATACTGAAAACCGACACATACCAACAGTGTGCCAAGATAAGCGTTAACCTACGTTTTAGTGTGAACCGAAGACAATACTGATACCGAAAATCCTAAAAGATCGGTGGTTTTCCTACTTCTAGGCATGAAATACCTGTATTGCCTATAAGTCAAACTATTGACCATCGGTTATTGCTGCGCATCTTGATATGACCCGTCAAAATATCTCTATCTTAGATCGTTCGTTATTACCATAATCTGACTTTGACTCTTAACTAACCCTCACGTGATTTCAATTTTGGGCGTGTTGAGAATTGAACCAAACATTTCGAAATTACTCCGTGTATTTTGCAATCAGTTGCTGCCGCTTTCTTTTTTAATTATCTTTCAGTATATCAATACCCAGAGAATTCGTATTAATCTTTGGTTAACTTCCTGCGCACGACAATTCTATCTTATATTACGTCGAACCAACGTCATGTTGATTCTGATAAATTTAGTACGAGTGTTTGCAAAACGGAATAAGAAGTATGTATTGAAAAATGAATAAAAAAGACAAAGTAATAAGAAGAAAAATTATTAGCGCAGGAAGATTTGGTGGTAGAATACGAGTTCGTGCAGTAATATTTTAGAATAATGCTATGAAAGTCTCAATTAATTGCAAAGAATAATCAAATATTGATTTGTTTGGGTCGTATATACATGGTGAAGATAAATGTACTAATTGACAAAGCTCGTTACTTCAACACGTGAACGAATATCTACATACGGACACAAGGACAATAAATTAGGAAATATAACATTATCATGACTTGAAACTGATGGTATTTATCAACTTTATGTTCAGCCGAGATATTTCTAGTAATTAGATGCTGAATAATAAGCATATTTGATAATCACCGTACTGAGAGAACTTTTAGAATGAAGAAAAACTGTATTTAATACTTATTACTTATAAATTTCTTACTCTTTATGCCTAAATATAATTGTACTGATCGCCATCAGTAAATCGTGTTTATGAAAATCATGAAATCGACAAAGCGCTTCGGTACGCCTACTGTTAATGCCATAGTACTCGACAGCCAACATGCCTCACTTAAT